TACATCAGTCATCTATATTTACTAAAAATGCTTTTCAGGTCTCTACTCAAGCAGAAAACATTTTCAGGTTAAAAAAAATCTCAAATTAGCTGAAAGTTGTTTTTAAAATAAAATTTGGGGGTATTAGGGATAAAGTAGGTAGAAATTTTGAAGGATGGGGGCCCCTGACATCATCATCAGTAAGGGAAAATAAATTTAGGCTCTGTGTGTGGTACAGTTTGGCCGTGTCCCCACCTACAGTCTCATCTTGAACTGTAATCCCCATAACCCCCACGTGTCAAGGGCGGGACCAGGTGGATGTAATTGGATCATGGGGGCAGTTTTCCCCATGCTGTTCTCATGATAGTGAGTTCTCATGAGATCTGATGGTTTTTAAATATCTGGCATTTCCCCTACTCACACTTATTTTCTGTCCTGCCACCCTGTGAAGAGGTGTCTTCCACCATGATTATAAGTTTCCTGAGGTCCCCCCAGCCATGCAGAACTGTGAGTCAATTAAACCTTTTTTCTTTATTACCCAGTCTCAGGTATTTGCTTATAGCAGTAGTGTGAAAATAGACTAATACAGTGTGTAAAGCAAAGAAGAGTGGGGGAGACCTGAGAACTCCCCACTCCTGAAAAAAGACCTGGTGGCCAGGGTCAAGTGCTGTGTGGGGATCATTGGTGGTAGACACTTGTTTATGGGGTGTCTAGGGGTGGTGGGGCATGGAGGACACAGACCACAAGGCTGGCCATTAGCTTTGTGTAGGGCCAATGTGCTGGCCAATGCCTGGCCATTAGCACAAGTGTACTAAACCAGCCCCAGCCCATCTACCCTCCCACAAGCCCTACTTTCTCTCAGTTTTCCTGAAGTCTTAAAACGTATTTAGATGCCTTATAAATTATTTCTGCCTTGTGATACAATTTTGTCATAGGAGTACAGCCTTTAATCTGGTGTTACTGTTAGCCATGTTTGTGATCTTACTACATAAAAGGGAAAGCTTATTTTTAAAAATCAGTAACTCTAAGCTCAAGAGTAAAAATGAGAATGATTTTTCAATGTACTTAATAAAGACAGAAGCTGAGCCTGGGCTACATAGTGAAACCCTGTTTCTACATATGTGTGTGTGTTTGTGTGTGTATATATATACACACACACGTATATGTATATATACATTTTATATATATATAATGTGTGTGTGTACATGTCATTTAAAGACATATATATACACACACACACACACACAAATTAGCCAAGTGTGGTGGATCACACCTGTAGTTCCAGCTACTTGGGAGGCTGAGGTGGAAGGATCACTTGAGTTCTGGAGATGGAGGTTGCAGTGAACCAAGACAACTTGGGCAACAGAGCAAGACACTTAAATTTAAAAAAGGTAAAATGAGGCACCGCACACATAATGCTTAAAAAAATTTAGTTCCCTTCTCTTGTAAAGGGTTATAGCCTCCACAGACTCCTGTAGACTTGTATTTCCCTTCTATCAGTTGGGGAAACAGCATTGTTGGGCAAAGAACATAAACTTTTGAGCTAACCAGATCTAGGTTTGAGTCCCAGTTTCCTAATTTGTTCATTGTGTTGCCTTGGGCAAGTTACTTTGCTTGTCTGTGCTTCAGATTCCTGATGTATAAAATGAGGAGGGAGATTTATATCTTGAAGGGCTGTTGTGAGAATTAATTGAAGGAACTCTAAAGCTCTGATCATAAGGACTGTCAGGTAGGCACATTTAGCAAGTGCTGGATCATCATTTAAAGACTAGGTCATTAATCTGAAAACACACAACACAACATGGACACTATCTACAATTTGCAGACTATAAACACTAGTTAATATATGAATTTTATAGAAGAAATGGGCATGTATTTATAGGTATATGAATAAAAAGGTTGTATTGTATTTAAGTATTCTTAGTTTTAAAATTTATTTACTAACTTGAATATGATACCAAAAGTATAGGCAACAGAAGAAAAATAGGTAAACTGGACTTTATCAAAATTAATGACTGTTGTATATCAAAAAACTTATCAACAGATTGAAAAGACAACATGGAATGGGAGAAAATATTTCCAAATCATATATCATAAGGGATTAATATCTAGAATATATATAATAAAGAACTCTGACAACTCACCAACAACCGAAAAAACTTGATTAAAAAATGGGCTAAGGACTTGAATAGACATTTCTCCAAAGAAGAAAATACATAAACAGCAAAAACATGAAAAGATGCTCAACATCCAAACCACGGTGAGATAGCACCTTACACCATTAGGATGCCTGTTATTAAAAAAAAAAAAAACAAAAAACAGAAATTAGCATGTGTTGGGGAGAATGTGGAGAAATTGGAGCCCTTATGCGTTGCTGGTAGGAATGTAAAATAACACAGCCTATGTGGAAAACAGTATGGCAGTTTCTCAAAACATTAAACATAGAATTACCATATGATCCAGCAATTCCACTTCTGGGTATATGCCCAAAAGAATTGAAAGCAGGGACTTGAATGAATACATGCATACCAGTGTTTGTAGCAAAATTATTCACAAGAGCCGGAAGGTGGAAACAGTCCAAGGATCCATTGACAGGTAAATAAGTAAATAAAATATATTGTATGAACATACAATAGAGTATTATTTGGCCTTAAAAGCAATGAAATTCTGATGCATGCCACAACCTGGATAAATCTTGGAGAAGTTATGCTAAGTGAATTCAAGCCCGATACAAAAGGAAAAATACTATATGGTTCAACTTACATGAGGGTACCTAGAGTCGTCAAATTCATAGAGATAGTATAATGGTGGTGTGGCCCTGGGGAGAGAGAGAGAGGAATAGGGAATTATTGTTTAATCGGTGCAGAGTTTTTTAGTAGATGAAAAAGTTGTAGAGATGGATGGTAGTGATGGTTGCACAACAATGAGAAGATACCAGTGCCACTGATCTGTAGACTTAAAAATGGTGAAAATGTACATTTTATGTTGTGTGTATTGTATTACAATAAAAAAAGTTTCATTTATTTACTGGGGGAATTTTAGAAAGATGGAGGCCTCAACTTCATCCCAACTCTGTCCAAACTGCTTCCCTGGAAAAGTGAGCAAACTTAGGGCAGCTACAGGATCCCTTTAGGCATTCTACGATCTCCAGAGAAAGAACAGGTTCAGGCTGCATCTCTGTGGCATAAAAAGAACCATCACCAGGAGAAAGCTTGCTACCTCTAGAAGGCAGGATCATTTTGGAGGAGGGAGCCTGGTCGGCCCAGTGAATGTCTGCAGAAAGGGGCAGCACCTGCTTGCTTGCCTCATAAGTACATGGGAAGTCAATGTAATGGCAGCATTTCAATTTCAATTCATTGGAAAAAGGCCAATTTGCTTAATAGTGTTAATTATATAGAGTCTACATTTGGAAGAAGTGAAATTAGATCGTCTGACTTATCCCCTTCTTTACCCACAAAATTCTAAAGATTAAAAATGTATATTTTCTAAACCTCCACTAAAATAGAAGAAAATATAGGAGCATATTTATGTAATTTAGAGGACATGGATGGGAACTCAGAAGGCAAGGAGGAAAAGATACATATAGTACTAAATAAAAAGGGTATGGTAAAAGATGCCATCAGCAAAGTCAAAATCAGACAATAGACTATCTAAAACCATTTACTGTTTATAGACAACAAAAGGTTTATATCCCTTCTAAGTAGAGAGCTACAGTGTCATTATAAGAAAAACAAATGAACAACTTAATATAAATTGGACATTATGCAGAAGAGAAGCTATACGTGGCTGATAAACACAGGAAAAGATGGCCAGCTTTATAAAAAGGTCTCGTAAATGTAAGTTATAATAGTCATGAGAGTCCATGTTTCTCCCATTGTGTAGAGTCAGTGCTAGAGAGGATGTGGGGAAACAGGTTAGTTTAAGCAGTGCTGCTGGCGACATGAATTTCTATTATCTAATTGATAGTAATTGGGCAATATTGAAATTTAAAATGCTTATGGCCTTTGGCCCAACATATCTCACTTTTGGGAATCTGTACCATTACAATAAATCCCCCAGGAAATATATAGATATAAGCCTATGTATTACTATGAAGCATAGTAAAAAAAAAAAAAAAAAAACCCGGAGGGCGCGGTGGCTCAAGCCTGTAATCCCATTATTGAATAAATTATGCATATTTATATATGGGATGTTGAACATATTGAAAAGGATGTTAGATATCCATGTGTCAGCCTGGAGGGAGAGATTTATTAATAATTTTTAGAAGTTGCAGATTGTTAAATATATTTAATGTGATTACATTTTTGTTTTTGTTTTCAAAAAAGACAAAATACCGCTCTGTGATCTCTGTTTATATGAGAGAAGGGTGTTGAAAGGCACATACCAGGCTGTGTGTTAACGTTGGGTCCCCAAGGGGGAGATCATTATGCTTTTCATTTTGCATTTCTTTACCACTTTACCATTTTGGCTTCCCACAACCAATATATGTTTATAAGTTAAAACTTATACAATCAACAATTTAGAGAAAATTAACTTGGATTTGTATTTTCTTTGCTATTTCCAGCTTTATCATGTTTCTCAGACTTGTGACTTGTGGGAAGGAGAGGGTTTGAAGTGTAAGTTCTGCTAATCTGAGAATTCCTTAATGTATACTTAATTTTGGTGTCACATGTCACACTAGTAATGAATTCTGTGTAAGTAGAGCTTTGTTGGAACTGCAGATTTAGAGCTACAGTAAACACTTAATTTTACATTTTATTCCTTATGTTAACTTTCTGTATGTTACTTGGACTATTAATAGGTTGTCTTAAGACACTAAAATGGGGAGAGATTGCATTTCAGAACCTCAAAGCCTAATGGCGGTTAAAAATACACCTAAGATTTTGTTACTTAGGGTTTTATTCTACTCAGTCTTTAATTCAACCGTTGGTGTTAGAATTCATTAATAGTACTCATGTCAGCAAGGGAAGTGGTTGTATTTCTAATTACAAATTCTCAGTATAATCTTCATTCCTTCTCAGGAGATTATTTGGTAGCAATTGAAGAGAAAAATAAAGCTACCTTTCTACGTGCTTATGTGAACTGGAGAAGTAAAAGGACTGAAAACTCTCGTGTGTGTATCCGAATGATTGGGCATAATGTGGAGGGAGCCTTCAGCAAAGCCTTCAGAGACCAGATGTACATTATTGAAATGCCGCTTTCGGAGGTCCCCTTGTGCATTTCCTGCTGTCCTGTGAAAGGAGACCTTCTCGTTGGCTGCACAAATAAATTAGTCTTATTTAGTTTGAAGTACCAGATCATTAATGAGGAATTCTCACTATTGGACTTTGAACGTTCTTTAATTATACACATAGATAATATCACTCCTGTTGAGATTGCTTTTTGTGTTGGATATGTTGCTGTCATGTCAGACTTAGAAGTCTTAATCCTAAAACTGGAGCCAGGCCCTAAAAATGGAGAGAGAGTTCACCACAATCCACGTAAGACCAACAATCGAATGAGACGGACGGAAGAAGGTAAATAATAAATCTGACTTGCTTTCTTGTTTTAGGAATATAGAAAACCTTCACCTTTGGCAGTCTGAAGGTCCGTGGTATATATGGTGCCCGGCCATGTTATTTATAGATTTAGTTATTCCTATTTCATGGGATTTGAGTTTATGATGTGGCTGTTCATATCTTATTCTGTAGCACGTGAATATATGTATCAGTAGAAGTAAAGGAATGACCACTGCTAGGTGAGGAGCTTCTAGTCCTAGTCCTCATAGTTACTAGTTGAATGACCGTGGGTTAATAATACCATCTCTGAATTTCAATATCCTCATTTGTAAAATGGGGATAATAATACCTACCCTGTTGTACTTTATCAGTTGTTGTGGAGATTAAATGAGCAAACGCTAAGTCTTTTCACAACCATAGTGCCTTGTAAATGTGTGCATATTATAAATAAAATTACTGTATGTCTATTTAATTGGTGAGAGAATGTTGTAAAATCTAATTTTCATTCAAGCAGGACTGTTACATTTTATTTTTTTAAGGCATCAGTAATGAAATTTCACAGCTTGAGTCAGATGATTTTGTTATCTGCCAGAAGCCCCTGGAACTTCTTGGTGAAAAAAGTGAACAGTCTGGACTATCTGTTACACTGGAGTCTACGGGATTAGCTGATGAAAAAAGAAAATATTCCCACTTTCAGCACCTGCTCTATAGGTATTATAGTGCTTTTTATTTACAGCATTTAATGTATATATGCCTGCTTAAAGTACATGGAAGTTATATTTTTCCCTTTCTCTGTCTAACCCATAGACGTTTTGCTCCTGATATTTCGTCCTATGTATTGTCTGATGACATCAAGCTACATTCCCTCCAGCTGCTGCCCATTTACCAGACTGGTAAGCATGATAGTGCAGGAGTGTGACAGTGCAGCAAGGTGAAAATGCTCTGTCTGGGCTGGAAGTGGAGACCCATGTGGGTAATAGGTTTGGTGGTTTGGTTCTTCCACTGGAGTCTCCTTGTGGCCCTTTAACAAGTTTTTTTTTTTGAGACGGAGTCTCGCTCTGTTGCCAGTCTGGAGTGCAGTGGTGCGATCTCGGCTCACTGCAACCTTTGCTTCCTGGGTTCAAGTGATTCTCCTGCCTCAGCCTCCCAAGTAGCTGGGGCTACAGGCGTGTGTCACCACGCCCGGCTAAGTTTTTTTGTATTTTTAGTAGAGATGGGGTTTCACTGTGTTAGCCAGGATGGTGTCAATCTCCTGATCTTTTGATCTGCCCACCTCGGACTCCTGAGTTCAAGTTCGTAAAAATGTATTATGTAATAAAAAAGATGGAAAGAAAGGTATATACAAGGATAACAATAAAAGAGCGGTATGCACCAGTAAAGTGGTGTCATGAATGCTAAAATCCCAAGAGTTGAAGCTTGGAAAAATGGCGAGGATGACAATAGATTTTTTTTTTTTTTTTTTTTTGAGACGGAGTCTCGCTCTGTTGCCAGTCTGGAGTGCAGTGGTGCAATCTCGGCTCACTGCAACCTCTGCTTCCTGGGTTCAAGTGATTCTCCTGCCTCAGCCTCCCGAGTAGCTGGGAGTACGGGCGCCTGCCACCACACCCGGCTAAATTTTTTTGTATTTTTAGCAGAGACGGGGTTTCACCATGTTGGGCAGGATAGTCTTGACCTCCTGACCTTGTGATCTGCGCGTCTTGGCCTCCCAAAGTGCTAGGATTACAGGCATGAGCCACAGCGCCCAACCTTTATTTTATTATTATTATTTTTTATTCACTTTTTTTTTGAGACACAGTTTCACTGTGTCACCCAGGCTGGAGTGCAATGGTATGATCTTGGCTCACTGCAACCTCTGCCTCCTGGGTTCAAGCGATTCTCCTGTCTCAGCCTCCCGAGTAGCTGGGATTACAGGCATGCCCGGCTAATTTTGTATTTTTAGTAGAGATGGGGTTTCTCCATGTTGGTCAGGCTGGTCTTGAACTCCCGACCTCAGGTAATCTGCCCGCCTCAGCCTCCCAAAGTGCTGGGATTACAGGTGTGAGTCACCGCGAATGGCCCAAAATTCTTAGCAAATACCTGTGGGTACTAGAAAGGGAAGTCATACCTGCTAGTTCGAGAAGCCATGGAGAAGGCGTGACAGATTGAACTCATTTCCCTTTTTGAAATGGCCTCTAGACCCAAAAAGGAAATTGGAGACCTGTTAGAGCTGACGTATGTCTGGGTTCTAGCTAGGTATTTCGCAAAGCTCATGATTGGCTTGTGAACTAGGTGTAAAAATGTGGACTGAATGGAAAATAATTTAGAGCAGTTTTCAACCCTGCCACACAATGGACTTACCTGAATGCTTTTTAAGATGTTGATGCTCAGGCTCTACATGCAGCATATCAGTTACAGGGCCTGGGCATTAGTATTTTTTAAAAGTCCCCCAAGAGTCTAATGGGCACCATGATTGAGAATCACTAATAGGCCCTGCACTCAGTTCTGGTCTGATTAACATCTTTAGCTGTTATCTAGAGAAAGATACAAATATTATTCCGATTAAATGTCTTTCTAGCCTTCATTTGTTTTTTCTTTCTTTTAGTAAATATTTATTGAGTACCTACTATGTTGAGCATTGTGCTGAATACTAGGGAACTAACAGTGAGTGAAGTGCTTGCTCTTATGGAGCCAGTTGTCTAATGGGGGAAAGGAGACAGTTGAATAAAGACAGATTCACAGTTGCACCCTGAAATGAGTGATCTGTGGTAAAACTCCCTGTGGGAGCCTATAACAAAAGACCCTGACTTCAAGATGAGGAAGAAGGCTTCCTGAGAAAGAGGATCTGAAGGGCGAATTGGACACACTTGGGAATAAGGTTCGGTTGGTGCAGGGGCGGGGAAGAGAGCCTTCCAGGCAGAAGCAGCAACAAAGGCTCTGTGGCAGAGGGAGGATCACATTTGAGACACTGAGAGAAGCAAAATTAAGGAGGCAGCAGTGAGACAGGGCTGGAGACCAGACAGGGCCAACAGCCGTATTAGAGGGCCAGCTAAAGATCCAGTGAGCGTCCCATAGTAGTTGGAATAAAAACTCCAAATCCACTCCATGGCCTACATAACCTTAACTCTGAGCCCATCTTGTCCCACTCTCACCCTGCTTACTATTCTTCATCCATAGTGGCCTTTCCCTCTTCTTTAGAGACGCCACATGCACTCTTATCTAAGACCTATTATTTGCTCTTCTTGTGCTTAGAGTGTACTCCCCTCAGACCTTGTGTGACTGGTGCATTGAAGTCATTCAATTCGCAGCTGAAGTGTTACCTCCTCACAGAGGACTTCTCTGACCTCTCAATTTAAACTATCCCTTCTCCACTCACACTGGGGTTTACTTGTTTACTCTCCATCCCAATCCCCATCACTAAAATGAAGGCTCTGTGAAAGCAGTTACATTGTCTTGTACACTGTTGTATCCCTAGGATCCGGAACAGCAGCACTTAGTAAGTACCTGATGAATACTGACTGAATAGAGGAATGGATGGGTGATATGTATTTGAGCTGGGCTCTAATGGATGAGTAGAATTTTTAGAAGATAGAGTGTTTGGTAAGATACTACATAATGGGAACCAACATTTTAGGAGGTGTAAAATTATGTGTATTTGGAGATTCTTGAGCAGGTCTCTTTGGCCAGAGCGCAGATGTGTGGAAAAAAAGAATAGGGAGAAAAAAACTGGACAGTTGGCTTTCTGCCAAATATGGAGAGTACAGAATTGGCTTCTGCTATTAATTGGTGTCCTTGAAGGGTGTCAGTCAGGGTACTTGTTAAACAACTTTGGTTATGAAAAATTACAGCCACATGTAGATAGAAAATAGTGCAGTGAACCCCCATGTACCCATCAAACAGCTTCAACAGTATTGCTCCATGCTACGTTATTTTGATGCACATCACGGAGTTCATACTATTTCATTCATAAATATTTCAACATATGTCTCTAAAAGGATTCTTTTACTTAAACTCAAAATACTGTTTCACATTATAAAAAAATTGTTGCCAGGCGCAGTGGTTCATGCCTGTAATTCCAGCACTTTGGGAGGCTGAGGTGGCGTGGGTCACAAGTAGGAGTTTCCGAGATCAGACTGGCCAATATGGTGAAACCCGTCTCTAACCTGGGGCCCGGAAAAAAAAACAAAAATATATATATATATGTCAAATATATCATATGTGTGTTAAATATATATACCTCATGTAACATATATATGTTAAATATACATCATGTAAGATATACAACACACACACCACACACATACATACACTACCCAACAAACATTAGCCGGCGCATGGTGGCGGGCACCTCAGTCCCAGCTACTTGGGAGGCGGGAGAATCGCTGTAAACCCAGGACGGCGGCGTTGCAGTAGCCCGAGATCACGACTGCCTCCAGTTGGGTGACAAGAGTGGAGACTCTGTCTCAAAAAAAAAAAAAAAAAAAAATTTTTTTTGTTGATACCAACAGATATCCAATAAGTGGTCACATTTCTCTGATTGACTAAAAAACTTCTACAATTCATTTGTTTGAATCCTATTCCAAATAAAGTTCATACATTGCAACTGATTGCTATGTCTTTTAAGACTCTTAGTATCTAGGCTTTCCCTCCTCTCTTTGCATCTTATTTAACAAGAACTTTCCCTCCTCTCTTTGCATCTTATTTAACAAGAAATTAGACTCTTTACTATAAAATTTCCCACAATCTGAATTTTGCTAATTGAATCCTTACAGTGTCATTTAACATGTTTCTCTGTCCACTGTATTTCCATGTGAGTTGGTAGATGGAAATGTATGCTGTTTAATTTGGTAGCCATTGGTCACATACTGCTATTAAGCACTTGAAATATGACTAGTGTGAATTGAGATATGGCATAAGTATAAAATACACACTAGATTTTGAAGACTTAGTACAAAAATGTACATAATATCTCATTAATTTTTTTGTTTATTGCTTCTTGAAATGGTAATATTTTTGATATGTTGGGTTAATACAATATTATTAAAATTTTAGCTGTTTCTTTTTACTTTTTAAAATGTGATTACTAGAAATCTTTACGGATGTAGCTCATATATTTCTATCAACATTGCTGATCTATCCTCAGGCTTGTTCAGATTATTTATTATTATTGTTATTATTTTGAAACCCAAGTAGTGTTGAGCTCTGCCAGTGGACTCTTTTTGTGATGTTAACAGCCATTGATGATCATTACTTAGATCTGTTAATTTAGTAGGGATTGTACGATGTTGATATTCTAATTATATTACTCCTTTTTTATTTCTTGTCAGCATTCTTCTATAAAGAGCAACTTCCCCTTTGCAACTCTTTGGTTACCCCGCTGATACAGTTTGCATAGCAAAGTCAATATGTGATTATTTCCCCCTTTACTGGTTTCATGGTGTTTTATTTTTTTCATTTTTGCATGCAGGTTCTCTTACTTCTGATGGAAAAAATTTGTCTCAGGAAAAAGAGTTGCTGAGTCTCTTTTGCTTTTTCTCCTTACCTCATGTGGGCTATCTCTACATGGTTGTGAAATCTGTTGAATTGATGTCAGTCTACCAGTATCCTGAGAAGTCTCAGCAGGCAGTACTCACGCCACAATTTTTGCACGTCATTACAAGGTACTGTTACAGGGTCACTTGCTGGCCTGTGAGTCACTTATTTGTAAATTTTTGAGGTACTGCTTAAATCTGTAAGAATTTTGTGAACTAGCATAGAGTACTCTAAATGCATGAGTTACATGTCATTGCAAGTCCGTCTTTTCATGACCCATACCTGCCTTTTGAATGTCAAAGATTTAGACCCTGGTTTTGTCTTCGTTTTGTTTCCTTAGACTGAATGGGAATCCCTGTAAAGAAGTAGAAGGTTCTTCATAAAGGAAGACTTTCATAGGGAATTTTAATGAAAAGTCAATGCAGCCAGTCAGAGTGTCTCTTTATGTTTCTTTTTAGATTTCCTAATTTTTTTTTTCTCACTGCTACCATATTTTTCTAGCATAAATTGAGTTATTTCGTAATAGTTTAGAACTGTGAAGGGGCCAGAGAGATGATCTTATTCTCTCCCTGATTGGCACAGATAGGGAAGTAGTTACAGAGAGGTTAGAATTGGTCAAAGTCATGTGCTATTTGGTGGCAGATGTGTTGAGTTGCCTTCCCCTGTTATGCTGGCATGTAAACTGGGTTCACAAGCAGTAGCTTGATTTCATTTCCTTTTAATCTCAGCAGCATATGATGGTTTTGGTTCTATTTCCTGTTTTTTGAGCTTAGATTATGTTCAGGGCACTTTGTTGTGTCCTCTGACCAAGCAACTGTGAATAAGATACACCAACCACTTTCTAAAACAACAATAGAAGAGAAGGTTAGAGAGACATACAAGAGTCATAGACACTGGGAGATTTGTGAAAAATGTCTTAAGACCTCATGAAAGTGCCATTGACATTGGGAGGAGGGAAATTACTTCTGGCTAAGTTGTATGGGGAAGTTGTAGATAGCTGATTGTGTTTGAAGTGAAGCATGAAAGCTAGCTAGAATTTTGGTAGATGAAGATGGAAAGAGATGTGCATTATAGATTGAAGGAAGACTATAAACAAAAACTGTATCAAGTTTTTAGGAACATCCAAAAGTTAATTGCACAGGACAGAGATCCCCCCACCACTGAGTGGTAGTATCAAAATCTCTAGCAGGTGCTGGAGATTCCAAACTGCATAGAACCAATCTGGAGATTCTGATATCCACTCTTAGTGGTTGTACTCCCTTCTCCACCTGATTTCTGGCTTAAGGAGAAATGCTGCCCTTGGCAGTGTGTTTCTTAAGTGAACAATGTGGAGGTAGCTAGTCTTTCCAGTGTCCAAAGTGTTGGGTAGTGATGTTCTTTAAATATGAAGAAGCTGAAAAGTAGACAGGTGGTGAAAACAGTGCTTGAGAGAGAGCTCAAGGATTTGAAAATTAAACTAAGGACTTTTAAAGTTTTAACCAGATAAAGTAATATGATCAGAACATTTTAGGAAAATTAATGGTGGCTGTGGTGGAAGATGGATTGAACATAGATAAATAAACTATTGGAATAGTTCAGGCAAAGATATTAAGGGACGGTATTCATGCAGGGTAGTGGTAATGAAAGGAGAAGGGAGGATGGATGGGAGAGGCTTCAGTGGGAAAGTTAAAAGACTTGTCTGATGGGATAATGGGGATGTAGGAGGCATGAAAAATCCCACCATGGTTTTGTCTGCTTTTATGAAACACTGGAGGCTGGTGAAATGTGGGGCAAAAGAGATGTTTGGTTTAGACATTTGAGTTTGAGATGCTTATAGATTATCGAGAGAATGCTAAGTAGACTTTTGGACACATAGAACTGTAGATTAGGGTAAAGAGGAAAGCTTAGAAGTTTTATTACCACCAACAAAACAGTTGATTATTAAAGTAGTGAGAGTGTATATAGAGAGTGAAAAGTTATTAAAGAATTAAACTCTGGTGAAGGTCTTACTCAGTAAGCAAGAGGAGAAAGATGAAAATTTTTAAGGATGCAGAAGAATCTAGGAAACTATACCATCTCAGAAACAATGGAAAAAGAAAGGGAAGAGGAAGGAATAAAAATACTGATTTCTGTCCCATCATATAGATGTAAAAGACTATCCATCTTTTTCCCATCTGATTGCATATACTTGAAGTACACTGAGAATTTAGTGAGTAGACCCACTAAATCTATTGCCCCATCTGTCTTATTTATAAGTTATGTACAAGTTTGGAGTGTAGAGTCCTGAAAGCATTATATTATGAGTTTGAATGGACTTTTAATTCGTGCATTTTGACTGCCTCCAGATAGGAAATTTTTGAGCTTATTATCAGCACTAAAGGAGACTGACATCATTAACTTGACTGTGAAACCATTAGACATTAGAATAGCAGTTGTTTTATGTACATTCAGATTCTTTTTTTTTTTTTTTTTCCCCAAACCAAGCTGTATCCAGCTTTATTAAAGATACTTTCCCTAAACAATCATGGTATTTCAGGCAGGACATGGGCAGACAATCATTAATAGTATACAACAACTTTCAAACTCCCTTCTTCAATGGATTGCCAAAAATCAGAAAGCCACTGTAAAACCCAATGAAGTCTTCATCTGATGCTCTGAACAGGGAAGGTTTAGAGTGAGGGTTGACATTTCACATTTAGCATGTTGTTTAACAACTTTTCACAAGCCGACCCTGACTTTCAGGAAGTGAAATGAAAATGGCAGAATTTACCTGAAGATCCACAATCTAGAAATGGAACCACTGCTGTTTTGACAGGTGCCATCTCAGTGGCATCACTGGAAAGTCCAGATTGCCAGACACACTGGTAACCAATGACTAGGGGTCAGTTCTCAACAGATGTCTGGGCTTAAGGGAGTTAAGCCTATGATGAAAGATGGAAAGGGAGAAGAGAACATAAAAACAAATTTGTTTTTCCATACCACAAGGCTTTTGTGCCAAGGTGGCCATGTGTGTCAAAGTCCCAAGGGAACCTCCTCTGGGAACCAAGAGGAAGTTCTCAAAACTAGGGAGGGAAAGGTTGTTTCCCCCCACATCAATCCAGCTTCAGAGACATTCTGTTAGGACATATGCCCCTTCCCCCAAAAACAACAATGAAGGTTCTGTGTGCTGACAACATAGCTTTAAAATAAAAAAAAAGTAAAACAAAATTCTGCATTTTTATAAAACTTGATAAAAAATAGTATTTCAAACTGTACAGTCACCAGAAGTACACAGTTATCAAAAATGTACACACTTCAAATGGCATCTCCAGCACCTTCAGCTTTCTGTGCCTGCTCTGTTTGGCATCTCCGTTTTCTGCAGGGTTATTCCCCTCCTTGCCAGCATCACCTTTTCCCTTTTTCCCTTTGGGTACCTTCTCTCCCTTCTTTGCAGGGGCCTTTTTAGGCTTGGGCTCTGGCTTTGGAGGAGCAGGTTTAGCAGACAACCTCGCGGATCTTCTCTGTGGTTCGTCCTTCACCTTGGCTTTATCTCCTTTAGCGTCCCCTTCAGCCTTTCTCTTGGACATGGTGGGGACGGCAGTGGGACGTAGGTGCTGGACGCGGGATGCAGCACGCGCAGACTTTGGTCGGTCCAGGGGTCGTTCTTGCCTCTTCTTCACACTGCTCTACATTCAGATTCTTAATAAGAATCTCCACTCCTGTTTTTCAAATCAAATCGGAGTTTCGCTTTTGTTGCCCAGGCTGGAGTGCAATGGTGCGGTCTCAGCTCACTGCAACCTCTGCCTCTGGGGTGTAAGCGATTCTCCTGCCTCAGCCTCCCAAGTTGCTGTGATTATAGGCACCTGCCACCATGCCTGACTAATTTTTTTGTATTTTTAGTAGAGATGGGGTTTCACCATGTTGGCCAAGCTGGTCTCCAGCTCCTGACCTCAGATGATCCACCCGCCACGGCCTCCCAGAGTGCTGGGATTACAGATGTGAGCTACTGCGCCTGGCCCATCTTTTTTATTTTACCCAATAGATAAATGTTTCAAAATCGCTTGTCCCGTAAGGTGGTCTTGAAAAGTTTCTTGAAGATTGGTATACGCCCAAAGAAAGCAATAGAGATTTTTTAAGAAGCAAAGAACAAAATAAAATCATGTAAAATGCCAACTTTATAGAAATATGTAAGTAGGAAAGCCCCCCATGAAATCCTTTTCTCCCAGAGTTAAGCACATCAAGACTTCTTTTGTTTTTTGAGATGGAGTCTCGCTGTGTCGCCCAGGCTGGAGTGCAGTGGTATGACTCAGCTCACTGCAACCTCCATCTCCCTGGTTCAAGCAGTTCCCCTACCTCAGCCTCCTGAGTAGCTGGGATTACAGGCACCTGCCACCACGCCTAGCTTATTTTTTTGTATTTTTAGTAGAGGCAGGGTTTCACCATGTTGGCCAGACTGGTCTCAAACTCCTGACCTCAGGCAATTCACCCACCTCAGCCTCCCAAAGTGCTGGGATTACAGGCGTGAGCCACTGTGCCTGGCCATGTGGTTTTTTTTTTTTTTTTTTTTTGTATTTTTAGTAGAGACAGGGTTTCACCGTGTTAGCAAGGGTGGTCTCGATCTCCTGACCTCGTAATCCGCCCACCTCAGACTCCCAAAGTGCTGGGATTACAGGGTTGAGCCACCATGCCCAGCTGAAACCCTGCCTTTTTATCTCTAGAATCTAAAGGTCATTGGTTTTTGTGGTCATAGCTATTCTCAACTGTCCTTCTGGTCCCACTGCGGGTGCTTTTTTGCTTCCCTCTCTCTCAGTTTACTTCCCAAGGTTGCTAACTGTACTCCAGATTTGTAAATGGTGGTGCTACTGTCCTAGTTATTGTCAGGACTCCAGGGGTCATTTCCTAGAACTTTGCAGAGATAGAGATTGCAGTGGGCTGAGGCTGAAGTGGAAGCACCAGCAGATGGAGAGAGGCCTGACTACCTCTTAAAATGTGCTAAGTCTCCTAACTAAAAATATCAGAATGCCTTTCTTTTTGAGGAATTTTTTTAAATTTAATATTACTGTTAGGTTTGCTTTAGTCCTTTTTTTTTAAAGAGTTCATTTTTGCTTCTCCCACTTTATAGTTTTTTTGTAAAAAGGGAGGGAGAAGGAAGGAATAAAAATATTAATTTCTGTCCCATCACATACTGGGACAGAAATATACATCATTGTATAGCAATTTCTAAGTTAATTAACTGTTTTTAATGTCAATATTCGAGGGTTGACCTCGATGACAACCAGGCACTTCCTGTGGAGTCCCTAGGTCCTTTTCGTATGCAAAAGCAGCCTGGAGTTGTGGAAAGAGGTAGAGGAGTGTGAGGGGTCAGGAGACCTGGGATCTAATTGGCTGTACTCTCCAGAGAGGCGGTGGACCAGTCATGAACCTTTCATGCCCCAATCTTTAAAACAAGCTGCTGGACTAGGTAATTCTGAAGATGCCTTTAGATGGTCTCTCATTTTCAATTTGACCATTGGATTTGAGTTTGCATAGTCTATGTTGTCCAGCATAATCCAGGATGGATTTCATCATGAGGTGGGTGAGGAAGAACAACAGTTAAGAAATGGGTTTTAATCTTGGTTTTGATAGACACCCTTCTGTACCTTGGGCAGGTACTGGGGGCATCATTTGTCTGTAAAATGAAGATATCGACCCAGTTCCATGGTTCCTAACTATAGATGCACATCAGAGTCACATACGGAGTTTTGTAGAAATATACACGTCTAGATTCAGCCCCTAGAGATTGCGATTCACTGGAGGTGTTATGGGGACCAGTTGTATATTTTTAAAAACCACAGGGATTCTGAGGCATTCCTCTTACTGAGAAGCAGTTTACCTTGGCAATATTTGATAGATACTTGACTGCCACCCCTGCCATTGGCGTGTTTGCCTGTGAAACCCTCCCTGGTGCGGGTATGTTGGTTGTTGGCCTCACTTTGCTCAGCAGCCTGGTTCTTCCTCCTCAGTAACAACCTGCAGTGTTTCACTGTACGGTGCAGTGCGGCGGCAGCTCGTGAGGAGGACCCGTACATGGACACCACCCTGAAGGTAAGAACTGGCTTATGAAGACAGTGAAACCTTACGATCACAGAGGAGCACATGAATACTCGTAGATTTGCTCTCAGACCTAAGCTAGGCAAGAACGAAAGAGCTTAAGGTTGTCTAATGTATTGAATTAGAACTTTTGGATATAAAATAGTAAGGATTTTGTGATTCATGGCTTAGTTGACAGTTTTTAAGATTGCTTTGCAAACATTTCACTCTGAATTGATTTAGTGCATAGTTTTTAAAGTTTGGTAAAGAATATGAAAAGTGTGAACTGAGAGCAGTTCACAACTATGGTATACTACAATTTTATTTTTTATTTTTTTATTTTTAACTTTTAATTTTTTCGAGTCAGGGTCTTGCTCTGTCACCCAGGCTGGAGGGCAGTGGCACAATCATAGCTCACTGCAGCCTCGAACTCTTTGACTCAAGTGATCCTGCCACCCCAGCCCCTCAGGTAGCTGGGACTAAAGGTGTGCACCACCATGCCCTGCTCATTTCTTTTGTATAATTATTATTATTATTATTATTATTGCAGAGATGGGGTTTTGCTATGTCGCCCAGGCTAGTCTTGAACTTCTGGGCCCAAGTGATCTGCCTGCCTCAGCCTCCTAAAATGGTGGGATTACAGGCATGAGCCACCATACCTGGAGCAATTGTATTTTATTAAATGGAAATATAGGTGGCAGTTTTACAGAGCTGTTAACAAAACAGTCCAGAAATCAATATACTTAAGAGCACAAAATTGAATACAATGCATTAAAATGATTTGTTTATACTATTATCAGCTATGCCTGTAATTCTGTATTTTATAAGCCTGTGATAACCTTCTATACTTAATCTAAGAGTTAATGGATATGGTAGATCAGTAATCTCATTTTTAGTGCGAAGTAAAGTGCTTGGTCTCTAAAAAAATCCTCTTGACCACAAAATAAATGTAGGCATTATTATGTTGAGATTCTGTGTTTTCTGACTTTGAATTTCTGTTCTCAGAAATATGCTGATCATGTACATTATATTCACCTGTGTTATTTTACTTCTGAAGTATAAGCTAGTTGAATTGGCTGTTTGTTAGGAATATACATGCTGCAAGAAGCCCCCAAATCATGATGCTCTGCATTTCAAAAATTGGTTTATATCTGTCTGGAAACTGGAATACCTTTTTCCAGAAAAATAAGCCTTCAATAATGATGGTTGTTTTAACAAACCAGCCCCGACACAGTGCCTAATGTGTCTGAGATACTCTTTCACAGTCACTGTCGCCCAAATTGTGTCATATAATAGTGTTTTATGGAAAGCATGGTCTCTGAGTTCCTAGTGACCCTGTTTAATGGCCTGCCTGTGGTTTTCTGTTGCTGACCAGGGTTACTGCCTGCTCTCAGCCTCTTGGGAAACCAGAACCACAGATTTCCTGTGCCTTTGTCTGTGTAAGATACACACATGGCCTTTTTGAGAGATTATTTTAAAATCAGGATTATTTCCTTTGTTAAAATAGAAACGTAACAGATTAAAAAAGTAAAACTTCCATTCTTTGTCCTCTTCTTTTCCCTCCTTGCCTTTTCAAACCCCAGAAAGACATAGGCTTATATAGGGGTGATGGTGTGATTTAAAGTACCTTATAGATTGAAGTAGGATCAATGTACATTTGGAAAAAAAATAATTCCATGTATTTTCAGAGTCTTGTAAAAGCAGAGCGAAGGAACAAGGAAGAGACAAAGGGGAGGGATAAGGAGAGGTGGGCATCTGGTGGGGGTATGCTGCCCTTGAGGCCCGTGGAGGTAGGAGGGAGAAGGGATGATCACACCTCACGGTTGCTCCTTTCCTGCAACTCCACCAGTTCTGAAGCCCTAGGTGCCAGTTAAACAAGCACACATTTAGCCCACCTGCCGACTCAGGCTTTGGAGCTGTGACATCCGGAAAAAGTTTCACAACCTCAGAGTCTGGTTGAAAGTGCATGTGGTCTGTCTCCTTTTCCTCTGAGATTCTGGCTGCTCAGCACTAGCCAAGCCACCTGAACTATTTTTACATGGAGGTAACAGTGAAGATGACCTCAGAATCAAAACAGCATGCATGGACAAGAAGGCAGGGTCCTGGCAGCATGCCAGAATAGAGCTCTTCCATTAGTTTTCTTATTCATTCTACTTGAATTAATGGTCCTTTACAAGAGCGAAAGGCTAGCTCCTCTAGTTTATCTGACATGTTCCAGCCTGTCAGCCATTCCATGCACTGTTCATACGTAATAGACTAACAGTCAGGGGCCATCGGAACTTACAAGCATTTCTTTCACACACACATCCACAAAGAAACCATTTTATGTACTCTGCATGCAGTAGAATGTCCTTTCATAGTGTCTGGTTTTGCCTAAAAACCCCATTTCGGCATACCCCTAAACATCCTGCTAGTAGTAGGGGTTTCCCTGGGTGGCAGGGTACCAGCTTCCTCTCTTGGAGGTATCTGTGGGGCACACACACAGAAGTTCCTGCAGCTGTGGGACCCTCTTTCCACATTTATTCAATCAGTAAATGAGTTTGTTGACTGAGTAGCTCTATAGAATGCGCTATTGATTACATAGGTTTAGATAACCTCCTCTGTTAAGAATAGGCATTTGGATTGTTTTTTTGTTTGTTTATTTGTTTTTTGGTGATGGTGGGTATGGGATGCCGGCAGCAGGAGATTTTATCAAATAAACTGACTGATTTTTGAAGATTGAAGTGCATGTACCTTTATTTCTTGCTTAAATTTGTGGTTTTCCTTTACTAGGCTTGCCCACCTGTTAGTATGGATGTCTGTGCTTTAAGAATACAGCTTTTCATAGGCTTGAAAGCCATCTGTCACTTTAAAAACCACATCATACTTTTGACTAAAGCAGACCCTGAGGCCATTCCAGAGAGAAGACAGTCACCCAAGAGGCTTCTGTAAGCATCTCCTTGCCCCAGGCATTCCTGCCAGTTTCTGGAATGAATTGTAACTGGTATATTTTGTGTTTATCTTTTTTTAAATCATAACTTGGAATGATCAAGTGGCTTTTTTATGGTAGTCTTTTTCCAGAGAAAGAAAAGAAGGTTCTAACAATCTCTGTAATACACTTTATAACTGACCTGGGAACTTTTAGGAGAAAATGGATTATAAAATAGTTTCAGTAAAAATCAAAGGTTTTAGATTAGTTAAAGGACATGCTTTTCTGTGTAATTAATGGGAAAGACTGAGCCTGTAATACTAATTGAAACTATAGGAGTTTTTACTGTCTTTCTTCTTTGACCCTTTCAGTAGTTACATTTTTATCTAAAATTTTCTGATATTACAAAAGAAATTAATAATGTATGTTTTACCTTAAAGCACATTTATGATCTATAGATATGCGATCTATCTGAAAATAAAGTTGTATTTTGATAACATTCATCTCTTGTTATCTGTTAGGTTTCTGCTTTCCCATTGTTTAGAATAGAATGCTTAATTCCAGACTAGTTATGCTTCTGTTTGATGTTTTCTTACTTAGTGGTAGAGAATGCAATCTAACTTCTCTAAGGAAAATCTAATCAAGAAAGAAATCTCTTCAGGGAGTGAAGCATATAGTGTATGTCATATCAAACATAGGTTATTTTTAACATGGATTTTTACTTTTTCAAATTGTTAGTGGCTATGCTTTGTTGCATCAACAGGAATCAGAGGGGGACTTGGTAACTGATCACTTTGAGTGTACACAGAGTATGGGGCTTACTGATCCTAAAAGCTTTCTGGCGAGAGGAAAAGCAGTTTGTAGTCTTGCACATTTGATATAACTTTTTAAATGATCTTTTAAAAATTCTAATTCATTTGATAAACAATTTTAAAAGATTATACACTAAAGAAAATGCATCACATAGTGAAAGCAAGAGATAAGATAGTGCTTTAAGCAAACGTAACAGTTTTATGTGTCTTCATCATATTCTCAGCAGCCATGATGTTGCGTCTGCTTAGATTTGTGGCTTAGGGCATGCTGGATTCGTGAAAGTCAAATGCAGAAACGAGCCTGGGCATGGGGACTTCCACAGTCAAGGATATTTTCTTTTTGACAGGACTTGCCTGTTCTTTGAACTTATTGCTCATTTGAGAATACTTGTGGAGTGAATTGGAAGCAGTTGGTTTATCATTACATGAAAATTACAGAATATTAAATGCAGTTAGCCTATGTAGTATTATGAACTAATATTCCATAACAATAGAGTGTACAGTTAATCACTTAAGATAGTAAATGAAAATGATTTAATAGTTATTTTATATCCAATATTTACCATTTGCAACTACCATTTATTAATAATGTCATTTTAAAATTATTGTCCTTTGTTTTGCTTTTAGTTCTAGAAAAGATACCAGTGTTAAGATCAAAATACCTCCTGTAGCTGAGGCTGGGTGGAATTTGTATATTGTGAATACGATCTCACCAGTGCAACTGTACAAAGAGATGGTACTCTTTTCAAACTTCTGATTCTTGTTTGTAGATATTTAGACTGAAATTAATGATCAGAAATTGATTCTAATTATCATACATGCAGGATACTGCAGCCATTCAGCTTCCTGACTCTGACAGTGGAATGTGTCTCTCTCTCTGTATCCTTATTTTTACAGCTTCTGACATCCAAGGAACCAGTAGAAATTCCCTTCACTAGAATAAAACTGCCTTATTCATACCCACTCTCCGAAGAAGATCGATTGGCCAATCTAAACATAGTCTTTGACCTTAACTTTGAACCCTAGCAAAGATAGCTAAGAAATGGAGAAAAAAAAAAAATCTAGGATTGTATATCCCTGTCCCACTCTTCTTATTTAGAAATGTTAGCAGATTGTCCCAGGGCACTACAGCTACTGCAGCATTGTCCTGGGGGGAGGGACCCAGAGGGAGCATCCTTATTCCTGATCTAAGAGTGAGAGCTTCCTACTGCTCCCTGGCAATTATTTTAACTCTTTATTTTGAAACAATTTCAGACTTAAAGAAAAGTTGCAAGAATAAGTATATTGTTCGGAACCCTTTGGGAGACTAAGGCAAGTGGGTTGCTTGAGGCCAGGAGTTCGAGACTAGCCTCGGTAACACAGTGAGATCCCATTTGTACAAAAAATAAAAAAAATTAGCCAGTTGTGGTGGCACATACTTGTAGTCCTAGCTACTTGAGAAGCTAAGATGGGAAGCTCACTTGAGCCCAGGAGTTCAAGGCTACAACGAGCTATGGTCGTACCACTGCATTCCAGCTTGGGTGACACAGCAAGACCCTGACTCTTTTTCAAAAAAGAATATTCTGTATATTCCCATTCCCCACACAGATTTCTCCACAGTCAACATTTTACCCTATTTGCTTCTCTCTCTCTCTTTTATGCACTCTGTGCTTTCTGTGCACACACGTATACATACGCTGTTTTCTGATTCTTTGGGAGGTAAACTGCATACATCAGTCTTTTGCCCTTAAGTACTTCAGCATATATTTTCTAAGAATCAGGATACTCTCTTGCATACCACAATACAGTAGTATGTTTTAATACATTTAACATTGGCACAGTGCTTTATCTGGTTTGTTCATAGTCTAATTCTGTCAGCTGACTCAGTGGCTTAATAGCATTCCCCGTCCTCCAGTTCAAGACCCAGTCTAGGATCAGGTAGTGTGTCTCTGTAGCCTCCTTGAATCTGGAATATTTCTATAGCCTTTCATTATATTTTATGACATGGATATTTTTGACAAATACAGTTTTCCCCTTTACTTTTTTTTGAGAGTATTCCTTATTTAGGGTTTGCTCTTTTTTTTAATGGTTAGATTCAGATAATGCATTTTCAGCCAGAATATTGCATAGGTGATTTTTGTGTTAAGGGTATCACATCTGGAGGCACATGCTGTTCATCTGCCCCTCTTTGGTGATGTTAATTTTGATCATCAGGTCAAGGTGTTGCCTGATTTGTCCCTGCCAATAATTTAATGCCAGTTATTATGTCAGCTGTGCCCTGTCTTTTCAGTCTTGCTTAATTGAAAGTCTTCATTTAGGTGATTTGACTGCTAGAGTCTGAATATACTGATTGAGTCAGATTAGCTAGTGATAATTTTTACGAGCCCTCTATGAGTTATGGAAATAGATGTAGTAGAGCCTAAACTTACAAATTGAAACTAAAATAGGGGAAGAATACTCAGTCTAAATTTGAGAAAGAATTAAATCATAATTTTTTTAAGCTTAACTATTTCAAATATTAGTACGTTCACTAGTCTTATTGAGATAAAATTGTTGCTAAGTTTACAGTATTGTTAGTATTACAGTATTATTTGGACCTCTCTAATGATTAGAGCTGTTTAACAAGGTATTATTTATAATCATGTATGTATTAAACTGGCTCATAGATGATGGGAAAAAAGCCCTTCAGCTAAGCGCTTGTCAGAATGATACATAACTAGTTTGTTTACTTTTAGGGTTTAATATGTCCAAATGTTAACTTTACTAACAAAATGTATAAATTATTTTAAGAACTGAGGAACTTTTGAGAGTCTCTCTTCAGCAACATTAGTGTTTGTCTTTTTTGTTTTAGATAGACTATAGCAATACCTATAAGACTGTCAAAACCCAGAGCTGCATTCACCTTCTCAGTGAGGCTCATCTGTTAGTGCGAGCTGCCCTGATGGATGCCAGTCAGCTAGAACCTGGAGAGAAGGCAGAGCTTTTGGAAGCATTTAAGGAAAGCTGTGGGCACCTTGGGGACTGTTACAGCAGGTGGGTGACACCTCTTGAAACCTTGTTACAGAAGCCATCTTGAACTTTGGGTGCACTTGTTAGCTTTTCCATCTCTGGTAGTTACCTGATAAATGGGAAGGTGGTTCATTTATTCACTTCTTCCACAAGCATTTATTGAGCACATACTCTGTTAGATACTGTGCTAGGCTTCAACATACAAAAATGAATGTGACCCATTTCCTGCTCTCAAGGAGTCACAGTTTAGAAGATGAGCAGTAAGTCTCAAGTTTGTGATTTTCCCACTGTTTAACTTAGGGCTTTGACATTTTTCTCAGGCTTTGAAAATCCCTGACATAGCTGTATGACTAGTTTATTGTCTGTAGCTTAAGGGAGAGCTGCCAGTTGGACAGTCTATGATTTTGATCTTAGTAGTCAGTGCTTTTATGATGTCAGAAAGGGACACTAGTATGAATAGTGTTTTTGTTTTTGAGAGTAATGTTTACACATTGTTTTGCATATGATTGTTTTTGACTTACTTGATCCACATGAATGGTTAAAAATTAATAAAACAGACTTTTCCTCCTATAAACACCGTTATTTTAGAGTCTGATCATGAATATTAGAATTAACTTAAATTGTTGTTTTTGTTTCTATTATGAGCAGGCAAAAAGAAACTGCATTAATTAGAAGTTTGTAAAATAAAACTTAGGAGTTTGTTTTAGTTACTAATGGCAGTAGAAAAGTATTTTGGAATTTATATCTTCTGGAAAGCATGATATATTCTATTATAGAATGTGTTAGATATCCAGGTTTAAAAATCACAAATTTGACTAGGCATGGTGGCTCACACCTGGAATCCCAGCACTTTGGGAGGCTGAGGTGGGATGATCACTTGAGGTCAGGAGTTTGAGATCAGTCTAGGCAACATAGTGAGAGACCCTGTCTTTAAAAAAATGACAAATTTCAGGTTTTTTATTTCCTTCCCTTTAGGCTTGACTCCCAGCATTCGCATCTCACCTTGCCATACTATAAGATGTCTGGTTTGTCTATGGCTGAAGTTCTGGCCCGCATGGACTGGACAGTAGAGGATGGATTACAGAAATACGAGAGGGGATTAATCTTTTACATTAATCATTCACTTTATGAAAACCTGGATGAAGAATTAAGTGAAGTGATTATAGTTTTCTGTTTTATATCTAATATTGTTAACTTTTCATTTTAGTGGTTTATTTTATGTAGTACTGTTTAGAAATCAGGTTCCAAATATTTTTTTCTTTGATATTCTTTTTCTAAAAAATTCATGTGCCATTTTCTTCATTAATGAAGATAGAATGATAGCTTGGAAAAGAACTTATGGGTAATCGTCTCATACTTTCTCATTATACAGACAGGGACATGTGGTCTGTTGTAGTCTCAACACCTGCCAGTGACAGTAGCATGTCCTCAGAAGAGCTACACAGAATGCGGCCCTTGCCTTCCATCTTCTCATCTGTAGTCCTTCCCGCCATCCCTTACTCCACGTGTCCAAAACTTCACTTACAAAACTCTGACCTTAGGCCAGTGACCTTAAGACATTATTAGGGATTATTTTTAGGGCCAGGCACGTGGCTAGTATCTGTAATTCCAACACTTTGGGAAGTCGAGGTGAGAGGATTACTTGAGGCCAGAAGTTTGAGACCAGCCTAGGCAATATAGCAAGACCCCATCTCTACAGAAAATTAAAAAATTAGCTGGGCTTGATGGCATACATTAGTATGTAGTTCCAGCTACTCAGGAGGCTGAGGCAGGAGGATCGCTTGAGCCCAGGAGTTTGAGGCTGCAGTGAGCCACAATTACACCACTGCATTCCAGCACGGGCAATACGGAAAAACCCTGTCTTAGAGAGAGAAAAGAAGAGATAACCCCTCATGTATTTCATACATAGTTGGATGCAAATATGCCAAGTTAGAAATCGTGGTATCAAATGTTCTAAGGTTTTGAAATGAAATTTTCTCATACAGTTTACTTAATTGGGTATATTTTGAACTAAATAGTAGTTTTTATGATGGATTTTTATTATAATTCAATCAGATGTTTATTTTCTTCTTCTGAAGTGTTGAAATTAGAAATGCTGGTCATAACCTGGTACATATTTTCATTGTTTTTTCTTCATTATAATCAGCAAAGAGATCACTTCAGGTTATCTCAGGCCTCCCTTGTATTAGTATCAGTTTTGTCTGTTTAAAATTAGAACATAATACTATAGTTTTATCTTACTTGGAATGTTTGTGTCTTGGCTTTTTGCACATGTTTTGCTGATTTTGTTGCTTTCTTCTGACCGACTGACCTTTTATTCCTTTTATTCCTTGCTCACCAAAGGAATTAGCAGCAAAAGTGGTTCAGATGTTTTATGTGGCTGAGCCAAAGCAAGTGCCCCATATTCTCTGTAGTCCTTCTATGAAGAATATTAATCCTTTAACTGCCATGAGCTATCTAAGGAAGCTGGATACTTCTGGGTTTTCATCGATCTTAGTGACATTGACCAAGGCAGCAGTGGCTCTGAAAATGGGAGATCTTGACATGCACAGAAATGAAATGAAAAGCCATTCAGAGGTATGGAGCCCTGCCCAGTGCTAACAGAAGGCTGAAATAGGACCTGGTAATCCTGACGTGTTTAGCTGTCTTCTGGCTTCTTTCTAGCTCATATGTTCTTGGTTGTAATGGAAAACAGACAATGTTAGAAACAAAGTGATCCAAATGGGACTTCGAATCTGGCAAATGAAAAAGAAATAAGACTGATAAATTACAGCAGTGGATATCTAAAGACTTCAACTTAGTGTCAGGTGTGTTCAGAGCACTGAGCTTGTTACTGAAGAACTGGCTGTGCTCCAAGGGGATGATGTGATCTGGCATCAGGGATATGGTGTGTGCACTGGAAAAGAACAGAGTAATATGTATTTAAGAACAGCAAAGGGGCTATTAGCCATGGACTTTAGAAGACTAGTAGTTGCATAAATAACCCCCACTTGGTAAAATCACAGATAACTTTATGGAGGATTGGACATTTGAATGTTGTACCAAGAAACACAGGCTTCCCCTTGGAAAAGAGGTCATTTAGGGACACTACCAAAGGTGTTAATCATTTAAGGGAAGAAAATAAGAGGTAGTGTAATTGAACACTTATTATTTACCAGCTCCTTGCATATATTATTTAATTCTTAATAATGCTATAAGGTAGGAGTATTATACAAATGAGGGAATTAAGTATTATACAAATGAGGGAATTAAGACACAGAGAGGTTAAGTAACTCATCAGGATCACATAGCTGTTAAGTGGTAGAACCAGAATTGAACGGGGCAGCCTGACTTCAGAACCTGTGCTCCTGCACTGTTTTCCTGCCAGATTGTGGCCAAAGCCCACAGTATGACTTGGGTTACTAAAAAAGGAAGAACGTAAGTGCTTTATCGCTGTACAAATGACATGCTTTGTTATGATGAGGAGAGCAAGTCAACATCGGGATGTCTTCTGTTTTGAAGAGTAGAATTCTAGAAAAATGACTTTTCATAATTTTGAAAAAACTTAAGATATATTAGTCGTCGCTTGGTATTTATGGGAGATTGGGTTCAGAACCTTCTACAGTTACCAAAATCCACAGAAGCTAAAGTTGCTTATATAAAGTGGCATAGTATTTGCATATAACCTATCTACTTTCTCCAATATACTTCAGATCATCTCTATTACTTATAATACCTAATATAATGTCAACTGCTATGTACACAGTTGTTAATACTGAATTATTTAGGGAATAATAATTTAAAAATCTGTACATGTTCAGAACAGAGGCAGTCCCCCCACCCCCGCCGCCGTTTTTTGGGGTTTTTTGTTTGTTTGTTTGTTTGTTTTTGAGACAGAGCCTCATTCTGTGGCCCAGGCTGGAGTGCAGTGGTGCAATCTCAGCTTACTGCAACCTCCACCTCCTGGGTTCAAGTGATTCTCCTGCCTCAGCCTCCCAAGTAGCTGGGATTACAGGTGTGCACCACTGTGCTTGGCTAATTTTTGTATTTTTAGTAGAGACGGGGTTTTACCATGTTGGCCAGGGTGGTCTTGAACTCCTGATCTCAAGTGATCTGCCCTCCTTGACCTTCCAAAGTGCTGGGATTACAGGCATGAGTTACTGTGTTCAGCCATCCCGAATATTTTTGATCTGTGGTTGGTTGAATCCTTGGATGTGAAACCCATGGATACAGAAAATTGACTGCATTTTCAAATCAAGTAGAGCTAAATATAAAGCTCTCTACAAAAAATAGGACACCTTGATGCTTAGTGAAATGTTAGTAACTTCTGTGAGACAGTCAGTGGTGTCCTTCTTTGGCTAAGAACTAGCCTTTATAGTCAAAGAAAACATTGTGATTAAATTATTAATAGCTTAACCATGCATTGTGAATTCACTAGCATGTTTAGTATTTCTAAGGTAGACAATCTAAATACAATGTACCTTTTGTTCCTAAATTTCTTTCTTATCTGAAGATGAAGTTGGTATGTGGCTTCATTCTGGAACCTCGACTGTTGATTCAACAGAGAAAGGGACAGATTGTTCCAACTGAGCTTGCACTTCACTTGAAGGAGACTCAGCCTGGATTGCTTGTGGCTTCAGTTCTGGGCTTGCAGAAGAACAACAAAATTGGAATTGAAGAAGCAGATTCCTTTTTTAAGGTTTGTCACTTTGAAAATGTGATTTTTCTGGATGGCCTCATTAAATTGGTGGTGGGGAGGGACAGAATAAGAGAAGTGAGTTTTTCATTTGTTTATTGAAAAAACAGACATACATAATCAGTTATAAAAGTACTAATTAAAAGATTATATCTGAAGAAACTTTATTTGTACAACCTAGAATCTGTTTCCTTTAAAAAAAGTCTAAATTTTCTTTCGCCATGGCACTAATGCTAATGGTAAATTATTAATTGCATGGCCCATGTGATGCTTTGATATTCAGCCCAGCTGTCGCTTTATCAGTGCTATATTTATCTGGAATATAGAGGCTTCTTTTACTGTTTTCAAGATGCTTTGTGCTAAGGATGAAGATACAACTCCTCAGCTCTTGGTAGACTTTTGGGAAGCTCAGCTAGTGGCATGTCTTCCAGATGTGGTACTTCAGGAACTCTTTTTCAAGCTCACATCCCAGTACATCTGGAGATTGTCTAAGAGGCAGCCTCCTGACACCACACCATTGCGAACGTCGGAGGATCTGGTAAGATAATGGAATAATACCTTAAATTTAACCTATGCATTGCCCATTACAAAAACATACCTTCTTATTTTTTATAATTTATTGTAAAATATAACCTAGTTTTCTATTACCAGGTATCTTATTTACGCAGGAGTTAAAAATACACTTAAAATTTGTCTATAACTGAAGTGGCCTACATTTTAAATAATTTTGTACTCTGAATGTCCTCCACTTATTAATTTCCCTCACTTACTTGAAGTGGTAGCTCAGTTGCCAAAGCATGGAGAAAAGGACTTCTTCCAGAACATCACATCTGTCCTTCCTCAGCGGAGGATCATTAAATAGAACATAAGAGAGAAGACATCTGCAGACCTCATTGGTGGGAGAGGAACTGCAGAAGGCTGTGGGAGGGAGACTTCCTTAGTGGGCCCCCATTTCCTGTCTGTTTCACATAAAGGAGCTGTTCTGTAGCACTTGAGGCAGCCAGTAATAACTCTTTCTACCCTTCTTGCTACCCTTCTTGCTCCCAGCCCATTTCTCTCACAGCTCATTAGCCATGGCTAATGGAGGGCTAAGTGGAAAAGTTACCAGCTTCTTGAATAAGCAGGGCTTCTTGGGAATTGTCTTGAGAATTTATGAAAGATATTTTGCCTTCTAAAGAAAGTAGTATTAATAAAAATTATTTCCAATATTCTTGTTAGGTATAATTGGCTTAAATGCAGTATTGTTCTTTTGCTAGAAAGTGCGTCTTTGGAGTATTTACATTTTAAAGTATATGGAAATATTTAGTGTAGAAGCAAGCAAGACTGAAATATTTTCCAGGGGAATACATTCTTAAAAACTGTCCTTCCCATTCCCAGGAAAGTGTATACCTAATTCTATGACATGGCAGAGAATTAATGATTGCTTGCTCTTCGTGGAATGGATAAGCAAGCTTTTGTTGTTATATTTTGTTTATGAGAAATTCTTTTATGTTTTAGATAAATGCCTGTAGTCATTATGGCTTAATTTATCCATGGGTTCACATCTTAATATCATCTGATTCATTAGCGGATAAAAATTATACAGAAGATCTTTCAAAATTACAGGTAAGTAAAAATACCTCCTTATGAAATTGCATATTACAATGTAGTGTAAGATTAAATTTGCTGAGACCCCAGGTGTCCTGTTAATCTAGAATGTAGAATTTTGAGGGGCAAAATCCATAGTTAGGCATACTCAGGACACTTGGAGGGAATTCCTGCCTGTGCCTGAAACTGCTGATGGATGGGACACCTGTGCTGAGTGGCTGGTTTCGTTGCAGGTGGATGGACAAACTTCACCAAGTCTCCTGGCTGATTTCCTCATTTTCAGGATGCACTTGAAAATACTTTGTGAAATGGAAGTGTGGCAAATGTTTAGTGGTGTTTTTATTGATGTAGTTTGTTTTTGTTAGTGTTGACTTACACATTTTAGGCCTCTCACCCAAGCCAGGCACTGCTATTTCTCTTATAAGAAACAGGTCAAAGTAGTCAGTTTATCCAGCTCCTGAAAAGGATTTTTCAGAAATGAGGGGGATGATTAGAGAATGTGGATCATCCTTTAATAATTCTGACTGCAGCAGTGTTTTGGCTGGCAGTGAGAATTAAAGTCCACATTTTTGGTGGATCAGGCTGGGCCACATGAGCATATGATTTTATTTAATGCAGTTTAGTGGCCCAAAGACCAATATAATTCCCACATCTGTTTTCTTTGGTCTTCCCAGTGTAGGCGCTAACATACAAAAATTAAGATTTCCTATTAAGAATTCTGAGTTTCAAGTCACTATTGAAAAATTTAGCAGCTCTGTTAACCCAAGGCCCTCATTGCTTCTGACCTGAGGGTTGGGACTGACCCGGAGCCTCTCCTTGGGCAGTGCTCACACTGTCCTCCCGCACAGTTATCATCTTTAGGGTATCCTGACCCAAATGCTGAGTGTCTGTTTTCCTTATGCCAGCTGCCCTTATGCATCTTCATCATTTGATTGGCCTCTTTAGGCTTTTGAATTTGCAATGCCTCATTTACACTATGGGAACTGATATAAATGTAGTTGTTACTTAGTATCAAATTGGGAATGGGGCTTAGAGGAGGGAAGCTGAAGAAGCCATATTGCTTAGACTCAGCCTTCAGGTGGGGCTGTGGTGTTCCCAGAGGCGGCATTATTTATGTGCTTCTTTAAAAAATAACAAAAGAAGATTCTTCTTGTCTCTTGTCTCTAGTACCATTGTGATACAAAGCCTTCTGAGGGCCTAGCCTCAGATTTTGTTCACCTCACAAATATTGCTTGAGCATGTGCTGTAGATGTTATGGGGAGCATTGGACAAGACAGTGGAACTTTGCCTTCCTAGAACATATACACTAATTACATATTTAAAATTGTAATTGGAATAAGTGCTATTAAATTTTCCTGATAAATCTTTAAAGCATATTTATAATCATTGCTTGAAAAAGTATAATTCAGTGATCTTTTAAAATTTGTTTCAAAATATATTTAAAGGAAAATCTTTGCTATTAAAGGAGGAAAATCTTTGCTATTAAATAGCAAAATCTTTGCTATTGAAGGAGAAACATAATCTGCCTAAACTTTTATAATTTTTTTTTTTTTTTTTTTTGAAGATACAGAGTCTCACTCTATTGCCCAGATTAGAGTGCAGTGGCAGTCGTGGCTCACTGTAACCTCGAACTCCTGGGCTCAAGCGATCCTTCCATCTCGGCTTCCCAAAGTTCTGGGATTACAGGTGTGAGCCACTGCACCTGGCCTTATTTTCAAACTTCCTGATTACATGGATAAAACTAAGTAAAAGTTCATGGGTAGTTGAAGTTATGACTAGTTTTATTTTAGTCATAATTTGGTACACATGCCTTGCTCCTTCGTACTGCCCCCACTCCCTTCCCCATTATCTGGATTAGTCAAGAGTTAAATAGAGAGATAATCTCTTTTCTTCCATGTTGGGAGACCCTTTGAGTGAGAGATTATCAACCTTATTTCATCTCTGCCATCTGATTGTCAGGAAATTATTCACATGAATAATTTATTAAACTTGCAGGAAGAAAAGGGACCGACCTTATTCTCCTGGTCATTCCTTGGTAGATATTTGGAATAAAATCATCACACTGACTGTGATTGGATAGATCACATTCCATATTCTCCTGTGAGCCTCAGAAGATGCTGTAGCAAAAAGGAGGCAGGGACAAGAAAATTAGGATATGACCATCTCATCTTTATCCTGGAGAAAGGGAAAATGGAGATTATTTTGGTGGTAGAATCAAAAGTAGTATATATAGTTTAATTGCTTAAAGTAAATGTTGGTAAAGTTGTAAATTCCGAGATAATACAGCCCGCTGTTATTCATCTTGTGACAAAGTGGTATTGATAACAATGATTAGTTCTAAACAATCACTTTAGTCTTATTAAGTGTTAAATTGTATTTTTGCATATGTATGTAGCACATACTTATTATAGAAAATTTGGAAAATGGCAGGCAGGGATGTAAAGAAAATAAAGAGTAGGCTTTGTTGTCCCATCCTGTGTGCTGTTTCAAATTGCCATGCTCTTCCGACAGTATTTCTGTATGTGCATTTACCTATGTAGATTTTATAAAACTGATCATGTTCAGAATATAATTTCATTTTGAAATTTTTTTACTCATTTTATCATAAGCATTTTTTTATTAACTAGCCTTTGAAAACATAGTTTTGATGACT